TCTCACACACTCGCTCCAGGATCCTCCATAGAAGCAGCATGAAGCTGTACCTCTTGTCACTGTCCACAGGGTGGCAGTGTATGGAGGTGAGACTGCCATGTGCTCTGTGTGAAATGGAGCAGTCGCTGGCTACCTCAGACCACACAGTAATCACCCCCCCCCCCCCCCCCCATTTCTTGCTTTCACGACCACAGCGGACTTCATTTGCTCGTGCTGATCACGTTTAATCACAGCTCCACTCAGGAACAGGTTCTTCCGAGCCGAGCAGCAGACACATGTACTGTTTGTTTATCTTGCAGTGTTTTTGTACACAAAAGGATTTGCCTGAAATGTAAACTTCCTCTTTTTTGCACCACAGCCTTGCCTTGCCTTGCCTGCCTGCACCCTTGTCCCTCTGTGGCCCTCTTGGAAATATAGTCTCATTCCTCAGAGCCTGTTCTCAGTGCAGCCACGGCAGGCTGAACTGCTCTTTTATTCAGATGAATGAGGCCCTGTTTTGCCTGGAGAATCAGACACAGACAGTCCATGTGAGAGCTCGAAGAATGTCTGTGGAAAATCAGGGACTGTAGCATCTGAGGTATTACACACGTGCGTTTGTTTGCGACTGCGTTGAATCGGCTCTGTATTAGAATCAGATTTTACAGCCATGTAAAGACTTGAATGATCTGATTTTGTAATAGTTTCACACCCCGATTTACTCTTACCTTGGCCCTTTAAAAAAAAGTCTTCATTTCAGCAAGCTGTGATCTAATGGAAGCTGCGGAGCGCTCTTTGTGTGAATTCAGACAGGGCGCACTTCTATTAAAAGCTGTTTTTTTTCTACTCACACATTTATCAAAGTCTGCAAATGAGCAATCAGTTAGTGCTGTATTTTTACAAAGAAAAATGCTGTGCTGTCTCCCACCACCATTTCATCAATTTATCTGCCAGGTGGCAGCTACCCCCATCTGGAGTAAGGTTTACTTACATTCATTTTTTAAATATGCAATACTTTAACCAAATGGCTGCTGCAAGCAAGTTTCACTCTCTTGAGTAGCTTGTGTAGCTTGGCAAAGAGATTAGACATATGTAGCCTACAAGTGTCTTGGTTTTCAGAGTGTTGCAAGGCTGCCAAATGTGACTGTGAATAGCTATGTAAACAAGATAGCTATGCAAGGCTAGACCTTGCTCTGATTGCCTAAAGTGAAATACCTTTCCTTGGCTTCTCTCACATTTTACAGCTGTGGTAATGACAGCAAATAAAGCTTACTAGGTAGCAGCTTAATTACTAGCTGCCTGTTTGGACTAAAACCAACAGACAACTTGATTTTTCAGTAAGTTGTGTCACCTTGATAAGGCAGTTTACTCAGAGCAATGCGTAACCTCCGTTTCCTTTGCAGTTTTTTTCCTCTAATGAAAACATCCTCTGTTGAGTGCTATTCTCCTCAGCTAAAGCAACAACCTCTAAAAATCTTGAGTCTTGCTATCCACAAGCGTATAGTTAACCATATTTAGTTGAGTAATTTCCTTGAGTTACTTTGTTGGGAGATTGAAAAGGATTGTTTTATTGCTTCCTCCCCTCTCTCAAACCGCTCCAGGCAAAGTCTGTGCTTTAATTAGTCGAGCAAGACCCTGTTTTCCCTTTGGATTCCCCCAACTTGTAAAGTGTTCTCTTCAGAATCTATGAAAGCTAAAAGGGGCAATGAATGATTTGAAGTCAGCCTTCTTTTGGGTTCGCCTGCCAGCTCAGAAAGGGGAGGGGCTTTCAGCACTCGCCTCAGTATGAGGAACAGTAACTTGAAGCAGCAGTCACACAGAGCCTTTGTTCTTTATGGATATAGTACGTGTGGTGGAGACAGTCACTGCTTTAAAGCCCCCATCTGGAAGAGCACTGTTCGAATATCTAATACAAGAAGAAAGGCTCCTTTAGATAATACCTGCCTAAGAATGGTAAAATAGTTACAAAGATCAAGCTAGCACATCCATTTTGCCTCCTTTTATTATGTGCTGAGAGCGGGGGAAGTTAGCTTGTTACACAGTAGAGATTTAGTCATGTGTTAAAGTCGAGCCTCTGAAGCACACCCCCACCACCAGCACCACCACAGCCTTACCCTCTTCCTGGTGTACAAGTATTGTTTTCTTCTCTAAATCCCTTTTTCCCCCCCCTCCTTCAACTCGTCTGCTCCCTGGTGAATGTATTAAATGAAGTTACTAGATATGAGTGCTTAAGAGGCCAAGGCCTCTGAGGCTTGCCAACTATCTCACAGGCTTGGCTCAGTCATCCATGTCACTTTTTTCTGTTGTTTCAGCTACTGGCTGACTTATTTGTGTTGCTGAGCACTTTCTCCCCCTCTTCTGTCTGTCTCTCTGTCTCCCCTGCTCTCCGTTTGCTGCCTGAGTGGCTTGTTTTTGTTTTGTTTTTTTCTTCTCCTCCAGCACAGAGAAATCAGGCTAAAGCAAACAGTTTGTGTCAGCCACAGCTTTTGTCAAGTATTCATTTTTAATGAGGGTAAGTGGCTACAGAGTCCTATAAACCATAAATGGAGTAGACAGACCGGGGAGGGGCATGTGGGTCTTTGATTCAGTGGCAGTCTTTTTGTTCAGTAACACTTGTACTAATTGTGTTTGATGTGGTTGAGGGAAAACGTATTTCAAAATGATAGCTTGTGTTTGGTTTAATCTGCTGTTTTGTGTGTGTGTGTGTGTGTGTGTGTGTGTGTGTGTGTGTGTGTGTGTGTGTGTGTGTGTGTGTCATCATCCACCTTTTCTGGTTTTCTTAACTTCTACTGAAATTCTTCTCCTCTGATAGTCTTTATGAAGGGAGTGTTATAGGAAAGTGCCATTTTCCCCCCTTTTTAAAGCGGCTCTGTTAAATTTCATTGCCTCCGAATTCAAAAACAGAGACCAACCAGATTTTGCTCTGTCGGGATCGAAGGCGCTATAGCTGTAGAGAGGGGCGCTCGGGGAAAAGGTATTGTGATGGGCCGTTTGAATGCTGAACAGAATTGAATAGACACAGTCAGCTTCCCAGATACATGCTTAGGCCTGTAGAATGTGGAGTGCTTTGCTTGTAACTGCACCGGTTGTCTCCTTTCATTATCGGTTAATGGTGCCCAACTTGACAGAGCCATGTGATAAACAGAGGAGCTGTGAAATCCTGGAGGTGGAGTTCTCGTCCGCCTGATAATGGGATCTCATCTGCCCGGGAGGGGAGCCTGCCCGGGCCAGCCAATCCAGCTTTGCTTCGCACTGCCTTCAGAGTGGATTCGCTGCACTCGCCCTTCACTGCCGTCTTGGGCCCAACTTAAGCCTTGCGCTGTGCTGGGAATGGTGGCATTTTGAGTCACTAGACTGAAAAATCTTTTACGCTTTGATTGTGTGATAGAAACCGAGGGAGACATGCGTTTCCATCTCCCCATCCATCCTTCTGGACCATCTGAGTGTTTGTGCGTCTCGGGGAAAGGAGGGAGACTGTGTGTAAATATCATAAACACTGATCCTGTGAAATGTATACATACTGTGATGAGGGAGGAGCTGTGGCTGCTCATGGTATTGGGTTTCTAAGTGGTGTGGGGGCGGGGGGTCAGGACAGTTGCCTCAGGAGCTGGAAAAGGTTTTTACCAGCTCTCTGTTACACAGCAGAGCCCACCACCACACCGCTGCCATTGAAATGAAGACGACCAACGTGGTTTGTAGCACAATGACGAGCCCCCTGCACACCACCCCTCAACTCAATTTCTATCAATCCTCACTGCCTGTCTCTCCTGCTGCCCATGTTTGTGCCAAAAAAACTAGCCCAATGCACTATTTGCTTTAGGTGATTGGATTTTTTTTTTTTTTTTTTTACAGTGATTCAATATCATGTTTAAGACAATGAAAATGTGTCAAGCTACTCACTGGGTGAAATGAAAATTATCCTATTAATTTACAAGGTAACACAGTCCATCTTTGTGTCACTGCTCTTCCCAGGTGTGTTAGTGTGCCGTCAGGTTTTTCTCTTAATGGCAGCATTTAGATTAAAAAAAAAAAAAAAAGGGGGGGGGGACTAAATAGTGTTGTGCGTTTTTTTTTGTTTTTTGTTTTTTTACCGTGAAATTCAACAAAATGAGCGCAGGGACCTTGGAAAAATGTACAGGTTTACCGTTAGAAAAATAAAAATAAAAAAGACCCCCCCCTGCAAAAAAACGAACTATGGCTAATGGACTAGTCACATTATCATCCCTGCTTGTTTCTGCCTTTTTAATGGGTGGGGTGACTAATTAATTCATTATCCAAAAATGCAAATGAGCTCCTACAAACCCGAGCGGCATCCACTCACATCTCTCTCTGGTGTATATTCTGGAGGGGTGGGGAGGGGGTGCACGTACTAATGTTTTCAGATAGAAATCAGCGACCTGCACCGTAAGGATGGCGTTACGTGTAGTTATTTATATATTTGTGTCACCGTTTAGAAAAGGAACGTGTCAGTGCCGCGTGGCGCGGGAAATGTGGGCTATTAAGCAATTATTTACAAAGGCAGCGCTACTGCACGCTCTCATTGTGTCGCTTTAGTGTTTCAGTCACATTCCCCATAAGCGTTGTCATTGATCGCTTGGTGATGATGATGATGATGATGATGAAGGTCGTGTCGGGCTACTTTGGCCGCCTTGCACCTCGCTTCCTGATGCGCGCGCACGCACACGCATCGGTGTCCCCACGGCGCTGGCATCAATCAGCAGCCCCCAATGGCGTCCCCCAACCACCCACCAACCCACCCCATCTTTGTCCATGACGATTATTTGAATCCAGTCCATGTTTTTGTTTCGCTCGGATTTTTTTTCCGCCTTTTTTTTGAGTGTGGTCGGCGTAATTCTCCTTCACTAGTGTCTGGATAAAGAAAGACTAGGTCAGCCATGTGGATGCGTCTGTTGAACAGCTGAAGAGGGGGAGGAGGAGGGGAGGAAGAGAAGAGGAGGAAGGGGGGAGGTTTACAGACTCGGAGGGAGCGTGGAGTGTGTGCATAGGAGGAGAGAGAGAGAGAAAGGGGGAGAGAGCGTGCGCGTGGTGTGTGTGTGTGCGAAACGGAGAGAGAGAGAGAGAGAGAGAGAGCAAGATCGTGGTGTGTGTGCGTGTGTGTGTGTGGAAAAAGGAAGCGGAGCCTGTTAACGGCGAACTCGCTGGTTTCCTACCCCTCGAAACAAGCGCTATGTTACTTTGCTTGTGGACACTGTCATCGACAGCAACAACAACACGGCCAAAGGGAATAGGAGCAGTTTCGAGGGGGGACTCGCTAGCGCTGTAGTGCCTTTGATCGGGCTCATTCCGGACGTGAGCAGCCTATCAGTAAAGTGAAACCGTCTTTTGTTGAAGCAAGTGCTCGCCTGAGTCCCTCCGTGCGGGTGGCGTTTTCTTCTTTCAGTGGGGGGATACAAAAAAGAAGAAGAAAAAGTGTCCGTGTTCGCCTCGTTTTTGTCCCGGGTCTTGGATTAAGTCCAGCTGGCTTGCCTTTTTAAGTTCGGTGGGTCATCCTGGGCAAGGATCGCGTTTTGAACTTGTTTGCAGCAGTCTGTGGGACTCCCAAAGAATCAGCAGACTGGCGGGTGAGTAGTTGAATACAAAAAAAAAAAAAAAAAGATTGTAGGAGAGTTGTGGTTGGAGGGGGGGCAGACTGGGAGCTGTGTGTGTATGTGTGTGATAAAGACACTGGATTTGGGCACTAGCAAGGCGAAAAGCCGAGTGGCACACGCACAGTTTGAGTCTGAAATGCCCTTATTTTTGTTTATACCCAGAGGAGGAAGTGTGACCCCCACTCAACTGTTTTTGAGCTGCAAAGTTGTATCTCCCGTGGACTGTAGCAGACCCCCACAACACAACCTCCGTGACCCTGCGGGCACTCTAACAGTAGTTTCAGCAGCTAATGTTTTTTTTTTTAAGTGTGAAAAATGAAGTAAACAGAAACTGGGCTTGCACTGCAGTTTTTGCTGCCAGGGAAGGAAACATCAGACATGTGGAAGTTCCTCGTGCTCAAGCATTTTAGCAATCAGTTAACTTTGAGGAACAACTAAAAAAAAAAGAAAGACCAAAAACAAAAGTTGCATTTTTACAGGAGAAATGTCAAAATGAGTCTCAGTGAGTTGGTCGTACATACATTCTGACTAGTGGGATTTCCCCTAGTGTAACATTATAGGCTCGACTGTTGGATTTTCACTCTTTGTCATGTCATAAATTGGTAATCCAGCTGTAATAATGGAGGCTAAGTGGAGCGTTTTGTTTTTTTAAAAGATGGGGGAGTTTACTGTCTGTGAGAACGGCCTTGCCAGTTGCAAACTATGGAAGGACCCACCAAATTAACTTGATTCCCCCCCCCCTTCAGCACCCCAGAGGCTGTGAACTCTGGCTGGAGCACATGCAGCTCTCACTGTGGGGGTGGGGGAGGCTCTGGGGTTGAAAAGAGCAAGAGGGGGGGGGGGTGGCTGGCTGGTGGGATATGTGTTTGTGTGTATGTTCAGGAGGTGGCAGCTTAGGATTTTAAAGCAGACTACAGTTATTTGTCTGAAAGGCAGCTTATCCACTGTTTTCGAGTTATGGCGGGGGGGTTACTTAAACCGCTGTAAATTGGTCGTAGTAAGTCTGGGTGTCAGAGGCTGAATCCACTGGGTACTTGGGCACATAAGCACAAACACAGATTCAAATCAAGGAGGGGTGGGGGGGAGTGAAGCGGTGATTGCCTTCATTCGGCGCTGTGTAAAAACAGTCCCTTCCTGGAATCCTTCTGCTGGATTTTTGCGCTGAACTACCACATAAACTCAGAGTTGCATTGCTAATTGCGAGGAGTTAATCTCTACCATACCAAGCTTCCTGTGCCTGTTTTTTCTTTTTGGTCACCTTGGTAGCTAGGAAGTGACCTCTACCTTAATGATTCAGATGCGATTAATTTGCTTGAGTGGGACGACAGCGTATTTGTGATTAATGTATGGCACAACTGCTTTAAAAAAATCATGTGAGTGAGAATATGGAGCACTGAATCAGGCACAAGGTGCAGGTGTGGTTAAAAATTTAACAGCGTGTCTTGTTCCTAGTGTTCCTTTAACTTGTAAATCTCAGCTTGCCAGTCTGTTAGTTTCCCGTGTTTGACTCGATTTGTGATTTTGATCATTTGATTTTGTTTATGACCGGTCCTACTGCCACTCTGTTGATGATTTTGAGTTGATTTCACTACTTTTAAGCTTAACTGCACCACTAAAACAGGCCAGAAATATAATCCTGAGCTTTTTTAAAAACGTAAACCAATGCCATTCATTAAGATGGCCCACCATATGTATTATTTTATTATTTCAGCAGGGTTGGGTTTAGTCCTTTATGCCACTAATGGGCCCATTTCTAACTTATATACGTCTGCGTACCATGCAATCACAGTCTCAGCCTGCACTCTCATGTGGGAAAACTTGCATAGCTGGCCTTTGTGAACACATTTTAAAGCGGCGTCCTCTTCACTTCCCCAGAGGTTAGGATATCCATTTAGTTTCACTACTTGTGGATGGAGCGAAAGAGGAAGTGGTCAGACCTCTTAATGGAGTTGTACACAGGAGCCTGAGTTGTTCTGCAGTGTGGGATTTGTATGGAAAGAGAGCGCCGAGCATTTCACAGCACTCAGGCTGTTATCAGATGAGAGTATAGCAACCTAAATCTTAATTATGTACACACCGCCTTACTGCTGTCGCTATCATTTCAATCATGTCTATTTGCAGTGCTTTATACTAGTGTTTGTGGGAAATGAAATCTGATGTGGAATTTGATCCGAGTCCGCAGACTGTGTTGTTTGATTCATGCAAACCAGGGGAAGCATAGTAGCGGCGTGAGTCACCCCGCCGCCGCCCCCACTACCCCACCGCACTTTACAAACACAAGTCCTCACTGCTGACAAGGTAGAGAGAGCTAGTAAACATTCAGCTCACATACGGGCGCGTGTATGAGTGTCACCTCTGAGGAATCTGAGGGGCGATATCCAGATCAAAGAGGCTGTTTCTGACCATGCAGAGAGAGAGATGCTTCATAGAGTGAGGCTGTAAAGGCTGTCTGGTTGCTCAGAGGCGGCTGAATGTTTGACAGGGCATTGGAAAAATGTTATTTAATCTGCTCGCATGATGGCCCTCAGTGGGATTGCACCACGCTGTGTCCCTGCCCCCTTTTTTTTCCTCCCTCTTCGGTGTCAGGATGATGGCAGTTGCTGGCTGCTAGAATTTAAAAAAAGAAAGGGAAAAAAAACCACACACTTTTGAGGTTGCTGTATGTTGTTTTTTAGCATTATGATGTAACGCATGAAGAATTAGAGAAAGGCGAGTTGTAATTGATGCAGTGTTGGCGGGCCTATCATTTTCTCTCTAATGAGAAAGTCTGCTGGGGTCTTGATATGTTTTCCATTCGGGTAATAGCCTGAATGACTCAACTGTATTCCTTTGTAATTACAAAGAAAACGATTCAGTTGTTATTATAATAGGTTGCATGAATGAAAACACATGTGGCCTTTGACTCCCTGAAAAACAAACTGTTGTGAGATGCTTATCGCTTAAACATAGGTAAATTACATCTCCGTTTTTTTCTGAATGTGGGCTCAACTGTGTATATCTTAGGCCACATTAAAGGCATTTCTTGCAGTTACTCTCCCACTTTTGACCTCGACAATACAGAGCAGCAAGCACAGGCTTGTTAAAGAAAAGCCAGGTGGAAAATCAATGAAAGTCCTAGCTTTTCCTACCATTTCCACCACCCCCACTGCACAGAAGCAGACTGGAGGTTTTGAGGAGCGATGATAAATCTCTCCAGGACTTGTGGAGTTTTTTAGACAGGTTTCATTTCTAAATGGATCGAGCTTGCTTCACCACTTCGCAACCTATTGTCCTTGCAGATAGCGGTGTACCGGTGACTCATTAGAATACATTAGCCGCGGATTGACACAGTGCACATGAAACAGTGGTACTGGAACTGCTAAGGAGGCAGTACCCTCTGGTGGGTGACTACTGAAATGGAGAGCAAATAAGGACTGGAGAGGTGCTTTGATTGTTCATAGAAAATTCCTTTTAATTTGTTGTGTGCACAGAGGAAAAGCCGATATCTTTAATTAACAAAAACCTCAGGAGCCAGCGATGAGTGAGAAATTGGGATAATTGAAAATAGGCCCTATCTCCTTTCCTTCCACCCTCCCTCCTCCAGCTCTATGTCTGTACATCCTTAAAGCAGCTGAGCCCATCAGAGGGCACTTTTCGCACATGTTAAGTGGGGGGACATCTGGCCTTGTTAATTCAGTGCATGGCCATAAAGTGGAATGGCGGTCCCCACAGGGCTGCCTGCTCTGAACACAGTCAGATGGAGCCTGTGTGTCCTCTCTATTTCCCTCGTCCTCCCTGTTGACTGTCCCTTTGACACCAGCTCGGACACTACAACAAGAACATCTCCGCAATCTTGATATGAGCTTTAATCACCGCTGATGTCTGAAGGAGATAAAGCGACAGCCGCACAAATCTTTGCATGACAGAATACTAAATTACAGCACGCCTGGGCTTTATTGACCAATCCCTGTTCTTATTTACTTCAGAACGTAATACCGTGTAACATTGTTTTAGGCACCTACCCCCAGATAGCTACTCTATATTTATTTTTTAGATGAGATGTTTTGCATTAGTAGCATGTATTCATAAAATCCATGTGCTATTGCCACCTGATGTCCCCGCATCCTCTGGATTAGTAGCAGCTAATCAAATGACACCAGTGGGGATGCGTTAATGCTGTGCATTCATATCCTATTTTAGTGAGTAAACATTAAATGTGTTTAAATGTATCACGGCTTTATTTATGCATAAATCTGCTATTAAGTCTGAATTATACATTAGCCAATGAATAATGCATCAGTGCCATTCCTTAATGATTACTTGCCAGGCAGCGAATGGTAATATTTGCTGATAAATTTGCCCATTGATCTTGCTCGTGTTTAACCAAGCTTGTAGAGATGATGTTTACTCCATTTTATGTTGAGGATGCAATCAAAAGGAGGCTAATTTATGTGTGTGTGTTGCTGTCTTTTTCTAAGGAGATGTCTTTTAAAAATGACAAGAGAGCCCTAAGAAGTTTACGTAAAATGTACACAGTCTTAATTCTCTGAGCACTAAATGTTCGTTTATTCTTGTTTCCTCTCACATCTGAGTAAGGTGTGTTTGCATACTGTTCAGGGTTACTCTGAGGATGTCTTGTTTATTCTTAAACCTCCACAGATCAATGTCCAATTCCGTCTTTTGTCTTTGTTGGCTTGTAGCCATTACGTGATGCTCCGTTCTTGTTTTAAGTATGAGTCTAGACTATGTTTGTTGCACTGGTAATTCAGTCCGTACTTGGTAGTGGTTCTCTATTGATACCGTGTCTTTTTATTGGCGCTGGTCTTAACAGCCGCACCGAGCCAGATTATTGGCACATTATCCTCATAATGCTCCGAGTCTAGCATTGCCTAAGCCTTCAAGCCTTGCAGCACAGGCTGTTACTGTGCAGATATATTGCTTGTCCACACAATGAGAAAATATTGACTTGTTGTCACTCACTCATTTGATTAGTT